AAACAATGTAGATGATAAATATATATATAAAATTATATACATGAAATTATGTATAATTGGGGGATTAAAACCCTTTGGTTGGCCACATACAAATAATGAAGGGCCAGTGCCGCAATGTAACCCAGGCAAATGGATGGTCAAACAATACATAGACCAACACAAATTATACAATGAGGAGGGGATGTGATGGGATAAAAAGGACAGGATCACTGGAAATGGCAATGTAAAGGTGACGGATGATGGTGATGGAATGCCCAGAATATCTATGAGGATGGTAATGACATGAAGGTTGTCAAATACACTGGGGGAGGGGGAGGGAGGGATGAAGGAACTAGGGGTTATAGGGAGGATACTAACTCTAAACCCTCGTTGATACCACTGGGGTATAGGCTGTTCAGAGAGTAAATCCAGAGTTACTCTCTGAACAGCCTATACCCCATTGGCTATTTGCACTTTAAAGGTGGTAAGGAGGAAGGTGACGTTACGTTCTGACGAAGGGGGCGTGCCCCGGAAATGCGTTAACGTCACCAGCATACAGGAATCGTTCAGTGGATGCACACTGCCTGTCAGCTTATATTTCATCTCATGTTTGTGAGTAAGTTTTTGTTTTTATCTCATGCTTACTGAAATAAAATTGACCTGCACCAGGAAAGGCGCCCCCTTGTGTTTACTTCATAGGTTTTACTTAAAGGAAAAACCTATTTGTATTTGGTGAATCTAAGCTTAGTATGCAAATGGAAATTGTACAAAGCACGGAAATAGTGAAGAGACCCAGTCTGTGAAGACTAGTTTGCCCAGTGACTACATGCACTTTTTCATATTTCAGTATGAAGAGTCTCCTCAGGGTACTCTATATGGTCTTCTCAGCACATTGTAAGCCTATTTCATATCTTTTAAAAATGTGTTCTTGATTTTCATTATATTGGTATGTGATTTTCTTCTGGCTCTTTACAGATGTGAACTCCCAGGTGTCACTAGTAGAGTCTGGTCCCAGCATTGTGAAGCCAGCACAGGCTCTGGATGTAGCATGTACAGTGACAGGAGCCTCTCTCACTGACAGCAGCAAGATTTGGAGTGTGGAATGGGTACCACAGTTCCCAGGAAAGGGCCTGGAGTGGATCGGTCGCATGACATATAATGGAGATTTATATTATGCCTAGTCATTGAAGGGACAAATTACAATAACGAGAGACACCAGTAAAGGAAATGTTTATATAAAACTCAGTAATGTGAATACAGAGGATTCTGGAGAATATTACTTTGCTAGACACACAGTGCAGCCAAGCTGTGCACTCCAACTTCGATAACTGTTAACAAAGGAGGGTAGGACATTAACCTCTAAATAATTATCATTGTAAAGTATGTTTTTCCATGATAGGGATACAGCATACAATACAAAACTTAGTCATGGTTTATAATAGAAGTGAGAATGAATAAACTGCTAAGAAAGATTGATTAGGAAATAAATAAAGAAAACTGTAATTTTGTAAAGCTTTAGAATTGGATTATTACTGAAATAAAAAGTTATTTCGATAAAGTTTTGATCAGTGGAGCTGAAGACAGGATGCATGGTGCTTATACTGTGTAAATTACTATTAGGACTTTGTATGCTTGTTCTGTTTTTGAGCCTGCAATCTGTCTCACTAGATGGCAAACATTACGTAATTTTAGGTAACTTTTCAAGATATAGAAGCAAACTGAAGCAACAAAGGGCAACTCTTCTTGCACTTCTCATTAAAACAAATTTGCAATATTATTAAAAGAATAGGTCCTGGAAGAAGAAAACTAAGCTACTTTTGGGGGTTATAATAAGGGGTTATAATAATTTAAAGTTTTGTATTTTTAGCTCTGTATTTAGGATAATAATTGTTTGTTTATACTTAAGGTATTCATACAACAGGTGCTTGAGGCCATGTTTTTAGAAGGCAGTGCAGAGAGAACTATATGCTTAGGTGTTAATATATAGAGAGAGAGACCTATATGCTTAGGTGTTATTATAGAGAGAG